TTGTAAAGCTGACATGGGGTCTGAAACTGCTAATGCAGGTTCTACATCCTATATTTGACATCATGTGTATACATTTTGGAGGAATAAATACTAATCATGACTAATGCATCACATTTTGTGCACACGTGAGATGTGTGTGTTTTCCCCCACGTTTTGGCAATGGCTCATAAATATGTATGTGTGTGTGTTTTTAAATTGTTGTTGCCAGGGGGGCTAGCCCCCCCCCCCCCCCCCCCCCCTGTTGTTACATTAGCTTACATTATATGATGTTTGACTATAACATAGCTTTTTATTTGTTACTGTATTGACATTGTCATTGACTGTTCACTTCACCACTCAGCTTTATCCGTTTTCTTTTCTGACCAAACATTGTGTGTGGTAAACTGCGGATGCTAATCAATTTTTTTTCCCTTTGACTTCGTGTTCCAGGTGTATCACTTGCTATCACCATGACAACTGTACCGACCAAGATTGTGCTGAAAAGCACTACAAGAATGTCACTGAATGATAGGTGAGATCTCAGCGGACGGAGAAAGTTTTGTTGTCCCTAGGTCACATGAAGAGGATTTTGTGGTCTGTTCCTACCACTGCCTTTGTTGAGGAAACCATGGAGTTGCTCATGGGAAGTCTGCTTAGTGGAGTGATGAGCAGATGTTGCACTTTGCCGTCACATCAGTCTACATGGCTGTGTGCGGAAAGAAAAGATAAATCCAAAAGTTGTGTAACCTGATTTTTACGCGGAAGAAGCACATCATATGGAGTCATTTTCCGAAACCAAAAAAATAAAAAATTTGCCTTGCTCTGTTGTCTAAATGGTGGGTTTGGCTTCAGTGCTCAAATTTTATATTTCAATTGCACACGCATAGCGTAAAAAGAGGCTGCTGACTCCACCAATGTGGCAGCAGCTTATGAAGGCTCCTATAGTGCTTTCAGGCGTGAATTGAAATGGCTGTCTCCATTTTCAGATTGAAATTGAAAAATGTGGAAACAGGAAGAGCTTGGGAAAGCTGCTTGCCGTGCCACATTTTAGTTTCTGTGTACCGAACGGCCTTTTAAAAGTTTAAAAATATTTTTGGTTAGAGTGTAGTAGAAATATAATGATCCCTGAATTGAATGGAGAGTCTCAGAGAAGTGGGCAGAGCGCTGTGTTGACAAAAGTGGCATGTTATTTGCTGAAAAGTCAAAAAAGTTGTTTGGCAGCCAATTGTGTGGATTCTCTCAGCTGTCACAGTGCAGGCTGGAGAACTTGCCACGGCTCACCATTTGCCTTACAGGGGCTTTCAGCATGTAGAACACCACGGGTACACCAGAGGCGTGGGAGTCGAGGACATCACTATCAGTGACATAGTAAATATTTATCTTTTTTTTTTTTTTGTTATTCACATTAAAGGGAGAATCCCTCATCAAAATTGAAAAAAATCTTGTAGATTTTAATTTTCTCGAAATTGACTTTGTACTTTAAAAAATAAAAGAACCTTTGAACTGCGCCTTAAAGAATTCTAAAGTATAATTTCCTGCTTTATAAACTGACGGTCTCATCGTTGAATAGTTTGTGATTTTTTCTTTATGAAACAAACAAAAATATCTCTAAACCAAAATGATTTGAAAAAGCACTCATGTAAAAAATATCTACAAAATCCATTAAAAAAATTTTCATACAATAGTATAATTATTTTTTGATTCCTGAAATAGAAGAATGAAGGAACGAAGCCCGAGTATTTATAAAATCGAGAGCTGCAAATAAAGAGATTACACTGTTTTGCAGGATACACCAAACTCAATCACTCTAAACTCAACAGCTTACAGCCTTCAAAATAAGATTAAGTTGTAGGTCGCATTTTTTCTCTTTATGCTACATAAAACCCTTATCAAAGTGCAGTTAGCTAAAAGAATTTCCCCCTGAAAGTGAGAGTGTTCAGATGCAGTTGATGATTTTTCAATATGTGCAAACGAAAAAAAAAAGAAGAATTTTCCTAAAGTATAAAAAACTTTACTAAATTTAGGTTGCGTAATTGCTTGCCAATGGAAAAGAGTAATTTTTTTCACAAATATCTCTTTTACATTGATGGCAGCCTTGCCATCTATGTTTCCTGAAAGCTTAATGTCCAAAGAATGAAAACTAAGGAAGGAGCAGCGAAAAAACTGTAAAAAAAAATTACATTTTGCGAAAAACGACAATAATTATGAAAATTCACTACATTAATCCATCCTCAGGTTTTCAAAGGCAATTTACCAGGAGAATAAAGACTTTTTCAATTGTATCCATGCTATTTTTAGACAAAAAACTGGTTGATCTTCAAACATCGGCCAACAAAAAATTTGCATAGCCTGAGCCCAAATCTGCAAATTCAAGGGTCGCTCCTCCCCTTAAGGCTGTGATGGTAGAGAAATGGAATAGAAGACTAATTGACTTTCATTGCTGGGCTAGTGCTGGAATGAGCAGTTTGGGCTGTGTGATGGCGATGTTATTCAAAAGAAAGAACCTCATTTGCAGATGGGACACTATGTTTTACAGTTGTCTAATGTTGCATGCAATATGATTCAAGGGGAGAATTGGGGTGCAAAAAGCTGGGTATAAAAGCTATACTTTGTGGTCCAAGTTCACCAAGGGAGCTAGATTTCACTTCAGAACTTTTAGAAAGCATTCTATTTGTCGGACAGGATTATAAGATTAGGTCTCGAATTCGTTTAGATTTTACAGATTTTTTTT